CAGTCCTCTCTCTGAGGGAGCAGGGCTGAGTGTCCTGAACTCTCAGCTGGGGACTGAAAGAGAGCATCACCTTACGTTGGAAAGTTTAAGGGAATGGAGCCTTTCTAGTCTTGAGCACAGAAGATTATGGGGCTTCTTGATTCAGGTATTAAAAATCCTGAAAGGCGTCATCTGGTTCAACTCTGGGGGCTTGTTTAAGATCCACAGCAACACAAGTACCAGGGGAGACAAGGGGAAATTAAGTTTATATTTATTCAAGACAGAAAAACAGGAAACCTGTCTGTACACAGGGGATTGTGGGAGTCCCTAGTCATGTGGCAGAGGCCGAATCCCTGAGATTATTTAAGAGTCAGATGTGTCACCGAGATGAGCAGGACGGGTCTCGGGGCCTCCTGTCATCTGCACCCTTGTCACGCTCTGTGGTCAGAGCTGTGTCTGGTGCCGCGGTCAACAGGTCCTCTGCTGAGCGTCTGCACACGTAGGGAGAACAGCGTCCTGTCCTCCCCGGCAGCGCAGGGCTCACCCAGCTCCCCTTGCTCTTCCTCAGTCTCCATGGTGATAAATTACAGGCAAGTGCCTCACTTTCCATTGATAAAAATACTCTCATTGCCCTGCTTGCACTTCGGTGAAGTGGAGTCCTCAAACACTGAAGGACACGCAGATCTGCATAGTTGTAAACACTCTTTATTTTCCTCTCGGAGTACTGTGCAACCACCTTCTCAGGATCTCCTTCTCCGCTGCTCGTTAACATGCAATATTATTGACAGAGAGTTTTAAATTAAAGAAAATGTCTACAGCTCCTTCTAGTTTATGCATTCAATTTTTAAAAGAAAAGCTCTGTTTTAGAGTTTGAGTACTCGGCCTGTGTTGAACGCTTCATGGCATTTTAATGTTTTCTTAAACAAATATAGGCTGATTTCTTGAAGTTCATTATTGTCTTTTACCAGCAGGACGCCATCTACTTTTTTTTTTTTTTTAATTAGATCAGTTGCAGAAGAAACAGTCAAAATGAAAACCTTCCTGCCGTGTGAGGTGGCGAATGCTGCTTCAGGTACTGCAGTTTGCAGCCGGGCTGTGCAGTGAGTGAGTGTGTGAACAGCAGACTGCTGGCACTCTGTTCACATGTGTGAGATTATAATCACGCCCCACCCCCCCCTCCCGTCAGGCAGCAAGCGCGATGTGATACCACACTGCAGGCCAAGAAGGTTCAGGAGGAAGGAAGTTGTAGCTAATGTGCAGGTTTGAACAAAACGGCACTTTCACCCCTGCTCTGCTGGAACCAGGCTCTTTGTATTAATACTGTAAACCCCTAATCAGGTAGATTAATCAACCTCAACCCACTAACACCTGGAGCTCCTACCACAGTGGTCACATGAGCTTGTGGGGGTGCAGTGCACAAGTCGGGGGGGTTAGAGCTTGGCATGTACTTGATGCTGAGATCCTCCGGGCCGGGGAATGTGCACACAGCCTCTGGCACCTCCTGGGCACCATTCCTGGTGCTGCCAAGGACCTGCAGGGGATTTGCAGATTGTAAAGCAAGCGCAGACACAAGCTGCTGTATTATCACTGTGGCTCCGGCTGGGAGCTCAGCTGCGGCGCTGGCGTGTCTCTTGCAGGTTTGTAGCTCCCCTTGCTTAGTTAACCCGCTAGAACGTGGCTCAAGGTATCGCTAGTCTTGTTCGTGGGCCCGGTGTTTGCCCAACGCTGAGGGCCAGTGCTGCCCATATCAGATGCACACGTGTGTGAGATTATGGAGACAAGCCATTTCTCAAAGTCTTTGACTCCACTTTCAATTGACTGTTTTTCATCGCTACTGCCTTTTATTCTTTAATTCATCCTAAAATAGTCTTTGCTCTTAAAGGCAGTGATTTCAATATTGGCAGATATAAACAGAACCATGGAAAGAGACTGACCACCTGTCCTTTTCAGTGAAAACAGGCCGTTCATAGGGGTTAAAGGTCACATGAGGCTGCTCAGCAATGCAGGCTCAGTCACAGCCCCCTGACCACGAGCACTGCCCCCCAGCTCGACGCCCTGCTCTCGCGGGCCCGCCAGTCTCTGGGCCATCTGGGCCACGGCTCCGGACCGCTCCGCTGCCCCGTGTCCTTCTGGTGCTCCTGTCCTGGGCAGGGCTGGCCTGGCGGTGCACAGGGTGCCCAAGGCTCCCAGGCCAGACTCCGCACAGCCAGGCCGGCCGAATCTCCGGCTGGGTGCGTCTTCCTTGGCGCTCCTGCCTGTCAGCAAGCCGGGCTGCCAACGCCAGAATGTGAGAAGGGCTGCAGTCGAGGGGAGCGCCAATCTGCCCGTCTTGCTAACTCCTTGGCTCTGCACCCCATCAAACCCGCTGTTTCCTGAAGACCCCCAGATTGGTGGTTTGCTAACGGGAGCGGCAGTGCTTTCCAGACGCCTGTCAAAAGAGCCTTTGTCAATATGGGGTTTGAAGTGTTGAAGACTTATTGCACTACTTCTCATGGGCCTTGTTTAAGAACAGATTAATTTCCTTGAACTTTCTTTTACTGTCTTTATGTTTATTTATGTCTTTGTTTGTGACTCTCTTATTTCCCTGCCTGTGAAATTCATGTCTGTTCCGTAGCTGCTCAAGGAGGACAGAAAACTCTGGAGTCCTGTTCTCTGGACACACTGGGCGCTGTGGACAACGAGCTCCCAGTGAGCACTGCAAGGAGGAGAGAACGCCTGTCCTGGAAACTGAACGAAACACAAAGGAAAATTGGTCCACTGGATGTGCAGTTAAAAACGAAACCAGGGAAGACGAGGGTTTCTGAGGGTTCAGCTGCAGCTGTCCAGAGAATTTAAAGTGAAATAAAAGCAGGACTGTTGCTGCTTCCACTGTAATAAATGGAGCAGAAGCCCAAAGTTCAGGAGGAGCCCCAGTCCCTGCGGATCACTGGCTCCAGTGTATACATTTGGGTTGTCTAGACCTCCTTTCCTCCGATTGCTGCTCCCGGATTCCTACCTCTTTGTCAGAAGGACCTGGCAAAATACTGATGTATGATGACCGAAACATCAGTAATAGTCTCGCTCTTGATTTGTCTTTTTCTTCTGGATTTTGCTTTGTTTTTTTGAGTGGTGCAGCCAGGATTGATTTCTGAGCCACATGAGTGGCTTGATTGCAGATGAGATTGCAGATCAGTTTCTGTTGGTGCAAATAAATAACACTTCCAGTCTGCTGTCAGCACAGCTTTGACCCACTAACCTCGGCGCTGTGAGAGGTTTCGCGCTCTTGTCACTTTCGCGTCTCTGCTGTGCAGGGCTGCCTCTCGCAGACATTTTTCTCACATTATTTTTGAAAACTGCACTTCGGCAGGAACCCGCTGGATCAGAAAGGACTGGGATTTGGGAATCTTGTGCTGAATTTTCTCCTGTGCTCCAACAGGCATGCTGAGTATTCTGCACCACAGCCCCGGCAACTGCGCGATCCCCTCCTCAGATCCACAGCACCATCCCGACTCTC